CAACTTGTTTATAAAAGTCCCATAAATACTCGCAACCAACTTTGGGAAGAAATAAATGCAACTGCAGTTTCTTTTGGACCAATCATGTTATTTAATATGAGGCCATCTTTTATGGAACGTATGGATAAATGCATCGAAGAGAATGGTGGACATATCGAACACTTACTTTGACATAATTAAACTTGTAATGTTAGTTAGCTTAGTTTTTTCTTTTCTTAATATGTGTAAAATTCATTTCTAATTATGATTATTAAACTTGTAATTTAACTGCTTTTATTTAATTTTAAAAATTTTTTTAAATTTTAAAATTTTTGATGTCAACTCCTACGTTACGTTAATAGGTATTCATCCTGTTGATAAGCGTATACGACTTCTACGTTAATATTTCTCGTAATGAATTAAAGAATTATACAACCGATTTTTAAAATTCGATTATCTCAAAAATTGTTAAGTTTAGAGGTTGTTAACAAGTATATATTTTTGTTCTTACAATGCCGTGCCTTTAATATTTTTTTCCCAAAAGAGCGCTACCTTGATGGGCAAAAAAGTTTAGCGTACATTTATGCCACACATGTGGCTTAAGNAAATGTATGGTGTGGGATCATTGGTGACCATTTTTTTGGGCCATACGATTTCCCACATACTTTGAATGGTGAGAACTACTTACATTTTTTACAAAATGACTTCATTGGCCTTTTGGAAGAATTGCCACTAAATTTCAGGCAAAATATATAGATTATACAAGATGGTGCACCTCCTCATTATATGAGAGAAGTCAGAACATATTTAAATACCAACTTTCCTGAACGCTGAATTGATCGTGGTAGTCATTTTCCTTGGCCAGCACCTAGCCCAGACTTTAACCCTCTCGATTTTGGCGTATGGGGCGCAATGAAACAACTTGTTTATAAATGTCCCATAAATACTCGCAACCAACTTTGGGAAGAAACAAATGCAACTGCAGTTTCTTTTGGACCAATCATGTTATTTAATATGAGGCCATCTTTTATGGAATGTATGGATAAATGCATCGAAGAGAATGGTGGACATATCGAACACTTACTTTGACATAATTAAACTTGTAATGTTAGTTAGCTTAGTTTTTTCTTTTCTTAATATGTGTAAAATTCATTTCTAATTATGATTATTAAACTTATAATTTAACTGCTTTTATTTA